AGCGAGCAAGGAACTAACCACACTACTCAGACAGAGATTGACTAAGAGTTAATGCCTACGGGACTCTGACCTGGCGAGAGAACTACGGAAGCTGGCTGGCTGTCATACCTCAATCGTCGCGCCACGACATGATAGAAGAATGTCACCAGCTAGCACACACAGGCGTGGCCAGAACGACTGACCTCCTAAGACAAAGTATGTACTGGCCAGGTATGAGAGAAGACGTAGCAAGATACGTACTTGGATGTCCACGGTGCCAGCTGATGAAAGGTGACCGGTATATACGACCACCACTTCAGTCGATTCCAGTTACCGCGATAGGTGACTTGTGGTCCGTAGATGTCATGGGTCCATTTCCTCAGACATCCAATGGTAATCAGTACCTCCTGGTGATGACGGAACACACGACACGATGGGTAGACGCCGTAGCAATCCCAGACCAACGTGCAAGGACCGTGACAGATGCAGTAGTTAGACACATTGTTGCAGACCACGGCGTACCGAAGACAATACTGACAGACCAAAGTCCCTGTTTCGAGAGTGAAGAGTTTACTTCCCGTTTGCAACAGCTGGGCATCAAGAGAATCAGAACGACCCCATACCATCCACAAACGAATGGCCTAACGGAGAGAAACAACCGTACACTGAAGGAGTGGCTGGCCTCGAAGGGCGGGAACTGGGAAACGGAGCTTCCACTGATTTTACTAACACATCGTGCTACCACTCAGGAAACAACGAAGAAGTCACCCTTTCAACTGATGAATGGTAGAAAACCACGATTACCGGTACACAATGAGACCTGGCCCATGCACCAAAAGTGGAGTACGACGAAATTAAAAGCAGAGAGGAAAGAGGCAGTCAAGAATGTAATACGGAAGCAGCGCAGTGATGTCGCGAAGTCTCAGATGAAAGAAAGGACGCAGTGCATTGCCTTTGCTGTCGGGGACCAAGTGAAGTGTAGAGACAGGAGATATACAGTTGGAGGCGGGCTAGGTTCACGGAAACTCCTTCCAAAGTGGGAAGGACCATACACAATCACAAAAAGACGGTGTCAGGTATATACCATTCGAAGAGGTGATAAACAGAAACGAGTTAACGCCAGTCAGCTCCAAAGATGGGTACAGTGGGACAAGCCGGTCAGTAACAATCCTCAACTAGAGGATGTAGCACCCAGAAGGTCGGAACGTCTGCGCACGAAGCTATTTGACGGGGGGACGAGTGTGTTGAGAGCAGGCTGCTAGCCGATTGCTTGACACTAATCTACGTTAATGTCTAGGTCACTAATATGGGCCGTGAGAAAATATGAACGAGGCTGTTTCAACAACCAATCACAGCAAACTTAAATGTGGACAAATATGATTCGCAGATAGATGGCTCTACTTTCCGAGAAATATCGAAAACAACCAATCATAAGACTGTGTTTGTCTGCTTAACTTCCGAGAAACAACCAATCAGAAGACTGCCTTTTTCTGCTTGCATAAGCCTTATTAATGCACATAAAATATATATAAATACGTGTTGATTTTCGTAATAAAACGATCTGTTGCCAGCCCTTGTCTTCTGTTGTTACACCGGGACCTTCCGGTTACAAGGCAAGCTCGTGACCAGTGAGGTCAAATTCGATGTCACGTGTGTGGATGGATGTCCCACCAACGATAATGGTTGGTGTCGCGCTAAATCACGAATTAGTAGAAGTTAGAATTGACGAGCCATTGAATCGGGTCCCAGTGGCTGAATGGTATACGAGCTCGCCTTGTAACCGGAAGGTCCCGGGTTCGAATCCCAGTGGGTGCGTACTGCCGATGATTCCCAAACTAGGATGAAACAGCACCTTCCTAAAATGACACAAATGCATACAACATATGCGCACATGCATATCCTGTCTATTATGGTTTATTTGGTATCGTTTCGTGTTAGACTGTTGATTCAAATTCAATAAGTATATTTTATGCGGATTATTAGAGAATCACTTGGTAAAAGTGGTTATCCAGATAAGTTTATTGAGAAAAGTATGAATTTAGCACCTAGGAGATTCAGTATGGTGACAGCTCCGAAAAAAATATTTTTCATAAAACTGCAGTTCCTCTGTGACAACGTCAGCGAAACAGTAACACAGTGCCTGAAGAATGAAGTTAAAAGAGGTTATAATGCAGTAGATGTATGTTATCTCTTCACTACCACCCCGCCCACAATCTCCGTTCGAAAAATAAGAATAAACCACCTATATTAACTTCCTATATGCGCATCCACCAGTTTGACTGCAGCTGCCGAGCCAGCTACATCGGGCATACATTTTAGCAGGCATAAAGTTGACGTTGATACAGCACTTAAAATTATTTATCAGATTCCTAGAAATGAAACAGACAATTCAGAAAAGGTTTTGGAGTTGTTCAACTAAATTATGAAATTTACTCATGAAGGTATTAATTCACTTTCTTCAACATACAAATAAATTTAAGATTTTTTTCGTCCTGAATATATGCTAGAACTTTTTTAAAGTTTCTTTTAATTTTAGCGTTTTTTTCACTTATCAGCTATAAAATATCTAAGTCAAAAAAATAATGATTATCAGTAAGTTATGTAATGATCCATACACTATGATACACACATAAGGAAATCTTTTTGCAGTGCTAAAACTCCCCAGATATTCCTCTTAATTGCTGGATAAAGTAAAACGAAGCTCATCCACACTATTAATTTTTATTGATTTCAGTCGCTAGCCATCATAAAATCCAGGAGAAAGATAAGCCTTGTGCGGAAATAACAGTCAACTCAAAGTCCCCTTTTTAAATGACTGGAAAATTTTCTATTCCTTTAAGTTTCAAGTGAAACATAGAGCTTCAAGCTAGAGGTTTGAAGCTTCGGTAGCAGTGATGCTTATTTTTACGGGATGGGGTTGCTGGCCTCATGCCCAACCTTCCCCTTTTTCCAGTTTTATTACTGGCTTAGCGAGGTAAAGGACTGCGTCGGCCAGGGATCGAATTTCAGACTACAGGCTTGGTCGGCGAACATTCAACCGCTGTGTCACTGATGCACAAAAAATATGGAACGCTTCACAATTCTGCGCGTCATCCTTGCTCAGAGGGCATACTATTCTTCTCTGTATCGTTCCAATTTAAGTACATATACCGCTGAAGCGAGAACGACCGTATCTGTAACCTTGAAGGATCTCATGTCCCTCCTGAGATTCTAGCCTGCGTCACCCAGTGAATACGGCAGTCAAAGACGTTACTTCTGAGCTATTCGGGCTCAAACATTATCAGGGTGAGGCGCATGCATATAGTACACAGCCTTTTTCAAACAAATTAAATTAAAAGCACAATAACTATCTAGTATAATTGGTATTTAATTGTACGAATTTAGGCATTGAAGGTAATAAAATCTAAGCGTATTCATTTATTCAGGTGGAAACATTTTTTATATTTTCAAATGACTTTCCAAAAGTTTTCATTTCCCTCCTCTTTGTCTGTGATTAAATAACTTAATAATACTTTACATTGGAATACGGGTTGTAAATATACTTAATGTGTTAAAACATTTTACTGTCTATAAAAACTTTGTGACGTAATTTTTCCCCATCAAAATTATTCTAAGCTGAAATTTCAACTTTCCAAAGAACCGCACCAATATATATATATATATATATATATATATGTCAAATAACTGACATTTTTCGGCTTATTGGTACCCATCAGAAATCCCGAAGGAACTGATGCTCTTTCCAAAGACTGACAGAAATCAGTCGATACCAAGAACTAGACAACATAACAGTAGTTAATATCGAGCGATAAATGAGTGTATCTACTATGGATTACAACAGGTTGACGGTGGCACGAATAGTCCAGCTGTAATATCTCCAACTACAGCAGTGGACATGACAAGTTCAAAGGAGACATCCATTTACCGTCTGAATAACGTAACTTTATGACATTCAAGTCTTCTGATTTTATTGGAGGATTAGTGTCCACTGGCTGTTATGTGGCTGTCGGTGGTATTTCTGGGTGAGTTACATGTATGATTAATTAAGGTGTGCTTTGAAATAATCAGACTCCTGTTTTCCTTTTTCTCCTCTATAGTGATTAGGTTTTTTTCACTACCTTTATTGGTTTCATCTGTGTTAATCTGTTCCAGAGTGGCGACCTGGTAATCTGATATAATGTCTTGAGGTTTCCTTTACCTTCGGCCTGTTCTGCCCCAATTGCCAGTATGTCGTAGAATTTCCTTTTGTCTTTCCTGACACTCCTGTTTACTTCATTACTGTAAATTGAGTTCAGCTTCATTTTTCGTTGTTCATCTTTTCTTTCACCATCCCTCTCTCCCCAGTTAGTTTCGAAGTGTCTGTAGATAGCCATTCCTTTCCCTACCTCTTCTTCCTTCCGAAGGCGGCTATACAGAAGCTTATTGAGCATTATAAAATGGAAATCAAATGAAATGAATGTCTCTCAGCTTGGCTGATAGTGCATTAGTACAATGCATAATAACACAAAAATCCAAACTTGAGTTTAACCAAGTTTTCCATTGAAAGCACACTACAACATGAAATCTCCTAACTTTAGATATTAACCACTAGAATTAAACCAGTTATTAAGAACAGGAGAACACAACTTCAATCACTCTCTAGTTAGTAAATTTTAAATTCAGAGACCGTCATCGCACAAAATCTTTTATTGAAAGCCTGAATCATAGAATTTTCCATATCAGAGAAAATATTAGTGAGAAATAAGTACAATTCTATAAAAAAAAGTAAATGAAACTTATAACTTGAAACAAATATGTTGTGTGTAGTGAGCCTTAGGCGATATGGCTTCAAGTTAACACACAAAAAAGACTGAAGCTTTTAAATTCGTTGACCACAAACACTGAATACAGCATTATTTATTATTTTACAACAGCATTTCTGTTTTTTCAGTAAACAGAAGATAATTTAAAACGTTATGTATTATTTATGGTTAAACCTACTTTTCATCTTTAAAAGTTCAACTTTGTATTTTTATTTTTAGGTTTGGTTATCTGTTGGCATCGCCTACTTTGTAGTTAGCCTAACATTATTCCTAATTGGACGTGTTTCACCAAATGAATGGTATGCTCGGCATCCATGCTATCCGACTATACAAAATCAGTTTACATTGAGAAACAGTTTTTGGTTCACTGCTGGATCGCTCATGCAACAAAGTCAGTTATTCATTTATTCCTTTCATTATCCTGTCTAAAATTCTGTAAAATGTAAAATATCAGCAGTTTTAGGACATATATGCTGAAAATTGCCTTCGTTTTAATGCAGATATTTCGAATCTACAATTACTAGATTCATCTTTTCCTTCTACTGACAGGAGTTATATTAAACTTTTAGAGAAATCTTAGGATTGATTATGTAGTCTACAGTATCAGTAACACATGATGGACAGAAACGTTAACTATTAGAGATTAAATGTATAGTTGTTTCCTGGTGCCTACTATGATTTATGGAATTTGTATTCGCTTGTGCCTGATTGATTCGTGTAACTATATCTCACTTCCAATCGTAAATTAATTATAGCACAGCACAATCCTTTTTGAAATAATGGAGATATGTATCTCAAGTATATGTTTATCGGAATTTATCATTCAGTGAAACAGTATTATTGATCCGGTAAATAATAATGTTTCACTGCGTGATACATCCAACAAACAAACTAATATGGATGTTTTTCGTAGTTATTTTGTCCGATGACCTGTATGATTTAATTATGAAGTTCCCACTGTTCTTCTGCACATATTCAGAGTTTAATTCATTGTGAATGGTGGTGAATTTTGAATAGATATTTTAGCCATTTTGGTGTATGGCTCCTTGACTTTCACTATACAGTTACAAATTGTATCCGTCATACTTCCAAAATCACTGGAACTACAACTTACCTGAACACATCGACTACCACCAACGGTTCACTAGTGAGAGTGAGTGAGAACACACGCACTTGCCTATCTTCAAACAGAACTCCGTAATTTAAACATATCATACTTACAAAACCAATCTTCAACTGATTAAGTGCAATTTGGATGGTCCGTATATTATTACACATTGCAACAATATCGTCTGTACACTCAGTGTTAGAAGTTTTTCTTCAGTCAGCAGATATACCCTACAATCATGCATATCCCTCGGGGTTCTCTTCAAGACACCACAGATGGAAAAATTAAATATAAACGGCAAGTTTGGACAACTCTGTCAGGTGTCACTTCTGGTTGAGAACAGTGGTGATAGCTAGTTGTATGTCCTCATTCTCCCTAAGTGTTTCTGTATAGTGCTTTTAGTATATTAACAAACTTTTCAGGAATACCAATTTCTAAAAGACAGTTCCAACAAATAGCCCTCTGCAACTAGTTCAATGCAGCCCTTACATCAAAAAATAGAACAATAACTAGCCTGAAATGTTTGCGTTTCCAACAACTAACTATAGTGAAAAAGTGACCAATGTATTTGCAATCCAGAGTAAACCTAGCCCACAATTCACTCATAATTGTCTCAGGGACCAAGATATATTCATACGCTATACGTTGCTTTAGGTTTCTGCGGCCCATCTGTCATATAGGTTTAAAATCTGGGTTTTCAACTTCCCTTGGAAAACACGATGTTTACTGCTCTGGTAGCAAACATCCTACATTTGCTTTCGCCCATTAACTTTTGTGAAAGAACCAACTATCTGTGCGAAAGTGATGAAAGGGGACTATCTAGCAAAAACCATGGGCAAGTCGCTGCATGCAAACAATTCAAGAGGAAAATCGCAGCCTATCTACCAGCTTCAGCCTTACTACAGCACTTATGGGAATCGTACACAGCTTCACATTGTCATGCATGGTCGTAGTATATTTTTGACTAACAAACTGTCCCATTATTTTATAGAATACATAACAATGTTTGTATTAAATTCGGGACACATTATGAGTTAAAAATATACCGCGGACATGATTTAAACTGTCTATAATATACTTTTTTTGTGAAATAGTGAAAAGTTACGAAGAATATTTCAGGTGATATTCAGGGAAGTAGTTGTCTAGTTATACGCAAAATCAGTTTTCTTATTCAGCCATCCATTTTTTCCCGTTATATATGATAAACGGTGAGATTTCACTTCTTGGTTGAGTCTCCTCTTAGTCATTTTTTAAAAATTCTCTATTTTTATTTTCCTCAGTATCTTTACTTTTTCCAAGAATATTAAACCATGCTACTTATAAACCGCTTGTTTTGTATATACACTCAAGGGAAAGTCTTGTTTATTATGAAAACTGAGTAGATATTATATATTCCGTTGTAAGCACATCCAGCCTAGAACTTACAGCGTTAGTGAGAATATTCTGACGATTTATGAAATGTTCACCTATTACACTTCAGGAGAAAAATTAGTTCACTTAGTATTCAGCCACAGTAACCAGAGTTAGTATTCGGATTTACTTATTATTATTTCCTTTAGTTCCTAGAGGAACATAGGGCTTTAGACGCATGTCTCCATTGCGTTCGGTTCTCTGCCAGCGTTTTCACCTGGCTTCAAGTCTGCCCACATGTTTTCATCTCTTCTTCACACGACTTCCTCCATGTCACTTTAACACTGACGGGTTCCGCTCGAGCAATGACCTGGCCTGTGATGTCACTTGATAGTTTTCTTAGAGTATGGCCAATCCACCTCCATTTCTTCTTGCAGATTTGTTGCACAATCGGTTCCTTCTGGGTTGGTTCGCTCCCAGAGATCCCCCACTGTTGCCGATCTTTACTGGCCGGTGATCTGATCTTGAGTGTTGAGCAAAGACAGCTGTTCATGGTCTGTAGTTTGTTTTAGGTGCTCTTCATGATGCGTCAAATCTCTGATCCATATAGTAAGTAGTACTGACTTCACATTGGAACTGAAAATCCAGATCTTATTTTTCGTGCTGAGTGCTGTTGACATCCACACAGAATTCATAGAAATGAAAGCTTGCCTTGTTTTCCCGATCCTCGCTTTGATATCCTCATCAGTACCGTCGGCCAGTAGTTGAAACGATGCTTCCCAAGTAAGTGGGTAAAGGAGGTTGCTTCTTTCAGATTCCTTTTACTTACGAAGATTGTTGTCTGTTGTAATTGCTGTTGCCGTTTGTCAGGAATCTTCATTACCTCTGTCTTCTGTATGTTCACCTGAAGTCCTGTCTTGGATGCTTCTTCTGCCAACTTGTTGCATTTCTCTTGCATATCTTCTAAATTGTTGGAAATCAGACATATATCATCGGCGAAATCCAGATTCTCCAAGTTGTTTATGTGGGTCTATTTGATGTCTATTTCCTCTCTGCCCACTGTCTGATGCATTATCCAGTCTACCGTAATTGGGAAAATCACTGGAGACATTATGCAGCCTTGTCTTACTGCGTCTTTACTTCGAAGGATTCCGTGAGTTCCCCGTTGTGGATTACGTAGCGTGCAGTGTTGTCGTACAACTGTTGGATGAGATGTATACTTGTTGGTGGCACTTCGTATTAGCGAAGTAGTTTCCAAATCACCTCTCGATCGACGCTATGTTGTCGAAGGCCTTTAAAAATCGATGAAGTTGAGATAGAGAGGTGACTGCCATTCCAAGCTCTGTTCACTGATGATCAGTAGTGTTGCAATTTGATCAACACACGACTTGTTTTCCTAAATCCAGCCTGTCCCGGTTGAAGTTTTTCATCCAGGCCGTGTTCGATTATCTCCAGGATGATACGAGTTAGTATTTTGATTGGGATGGGCAGGAGCATAATGCCACGCTAGTTCTTGCATTGACTTAAGTCTCCTTTCTTTGGCATTTTGAATAAGTAGCGTTTCTTCCAATCCTCAGGTACCTTGTTCTCTTTCCACACCTTCTCCAGTAGTAGTGTCATCAAGTCAGCTGATGTCTCAGGGTCTGTTTTCAATGTCTCTGCTGGGATTCCATCTGGTTCTGCTGCTTTTCCAGCGTTTAGCATCTTGATTGCATTCAGGACTTCTGATTTCGTCAGGGGGTTGATGTTCACTGGTAGTTCTGCTTCCGTTGTTGGTAATGTTGGGCGCGTTGTAGGTGGCGGTCGATTTAGAAGTCTTTTGAAGTGTTCAGCCCAGTGTTTTCTTCGCTCTACTTCTTTGGTGATTGACTTTCCATTGTCATCCTTTATTGGCTTAACCTGTGTCGAACTCTTCCCCGATAGGTGCCTAGTTGTTTGGTAGAGTGTGGCGAGGTCTCCTTTGCCTGTAGCTTATTCTGCTTCACTTCCCATGGCTTCATAATATTTTCTTTTTTCTTCCCTGGCACTCTTCTTTACTCTATTGTTCAGTGTATCGTAGCTTGCATTCAACTCCTGTTTTTGTTGCTCGTCGGTGCACTGGATGATCTTTTGTTTCACTATCCTTCTCTCTTCTATTAGTCTCTAAGTGTCCGCAGTGAGCCACTGTTTGTCCTGCCTCTTCTTTCTGCCTAGAACTTCCATGCAGGTTTGACTACGCATGGCTTTCAGGTTGTTCTAGTGCTTCTCAACGCTGACCTTTTCACTGTTGTGTTGATTTGTGTCTCCACCACTTTCCTTATGAATGCAGTGAAGATGTCCTTTATATCTTGGTCCTTCAGCTTTTGAGTGTTGAACTTGGCTTGTGGTCTATCTGCAGCTCCTTTTTCTTTGAAAGTTCTTAATTTGATTTAGATTGTTCCTTGTACGAGGTAGTCGTCTGAGCCAACGTCTGCTCCTCTTCTTACTTTTGTGTCCAGTAGGCTGCGCCTCCACTTCCTTGAGCAGCAGTGAGATAAAGTCAATTTGGTTCTCGGTTCTCCCATCTGGTGACACCCATGGAGCCTTGCGGATGTTTTTGTGTTTGTATACACTGTCACCAATCACTAGTTCGTTGAAGGCGCAGAATTCGGCGAAGAGTTCTCCATTTTCATTCATTTTTCCGAGAGCTCCTCTAACCATGATGAGTTCCCTTCCTGTGTTGTCTGGTCCCAGTTTGGCGTTCATGTCTCCCATTAGTATTTTAATTTCACCAGCTGGAGTATTGTCCATTGTTGCCTGTAGTTGTCTGTAGAATTCTCCTTTCTTTTCGAGGTCTGCGTTGTTTGTGGGTGCATAACATTGTATAATTGACACTTTCCTTCCTTTGAAGTTGAATCTGGCGGTCATTATCCTGGACGAGATCGCCTCCCATTGCATCAGGGCCTTTGTTGCCG